GGAATATAACGGTCCACTCCACTACATCGCACATCACGAAGTCGTTCGACCTGATAAAAAGAGTACACCTGTTAGAATCGTATTCAATTCGTCATCGAAATACAAAGGACAATGTCTCAATGATTGCTGGGTAAAGGGCCCCGATCTCCTGAACAATCTGTTTGGAGTAATCCTTAGATTTCGAGAGCAACCAGTTGCTGTTAGCGGAGATATATCGAAGATGTATCATCGGATTGGAATTCCAGAGGAGGATCAGCACGTACATCGATTCGTATGGAGAGATATGGATACGACAAGACCACCTGACACTTATGTAAAACTGTGTTAACCTTTGGCGACAAGCCAGCGCCAGCGATGGCGCAGATTGCGCTCAGAAAAACAGCTGAAAAGGCAGAAAATTCGCATCCATATGCTTCTGAAGTGCTGAAGAATAATACATACATGGACGATATCTGTGATTCGGTATCCACCATCGAACGGGCACAGCAGCTAACAAAAGAGCTTGACGAAATCTTACAGAAAGGAGGATTTAAAGTAAAAGAATGGTTATCAAACAAGACCAAACGAAAACGAAACAGTCAAAGAAAGTCCGAATATCAAATGCTTGGAAGGGGAAACAAAAGAAAAGATCTTAGGAACAGTTTGGAGCAATAAAGAGGATATTATCACGTTTAAAGTGGCAGATGATCTCAATGCATATGTAACAGAACCACGCGAGTCGAAGTTAACAAAAAGAAAGATCCTAAGTAAAGTAGCTCGTGTATTTGACCCAATCGGCATCGCGGCGGCGTTCTTAATCCGTGCGAAAATCGGTTTGAAAAGGCTTTGGCAACTTGGATTTGATTGGGACGAAGAACTTCCCTCTGAAATATCAAATTGGTGGACAGAGTTTTTCAATGAGGTTAAAGAACTGAACAATGTATCTTTCCAACGAAGCTTAACGCCACTGAATTTCATTGGCTTACCGATACTATGCATATTCGCGGACGCTTCTTGAGACGCATTTGAAACTTGTTCGTATCTGCCATGGGAAAAGTCAAGTGGCAGTTATGAAAGTAGATTCTTAGCGGCTAAATCAAGAGTAGCGCCACCTAAAGAGCTAACTATACCGAGGTTGGAGCTACAGGCAGCAGTTCTGGCGAGTCGTTTATACAAAACCATAATTGAAGAATGTCGTTTACAGTTCGAAAAGGTTATTTTCTTTGCGGACAGTATGATAGTACTTACATGGATTCATAGTCAATCAAGAAGTTTCAAACCGTTTGTGTCAAGCCGAGTAGCGGAAATCCAAACGAATTGTGAGCCATCGATGTGGAGACATATACCAAGCGAGCATAACGTAGCTGACGATCTATCTAGAGGTATTTCTGCAAAGGAGTTAGAATAACGCTGGAAAAGTGGCCCGAACTTTCTAAATTGTCCCGAAGATGAATGGCCTTAGCAAGAAAAATGACAATCGATGCAAATGAAATCGATAAAGAACGACGAAAGACCCAAGCAGTATTTTCCTTAGTCCTCAAACCAATGATCATCGATGCAACGAAATTTTCGAAATGGAAGAGATTAGTGAGAGTAACGGCGTGGATTCTACGGTACGTACGAAATTTACGATCTAAGCAAAAGCCCAAAACCGAAGTTGAGCCATTAACAGCAAATGAACTGGAAAAAGGTGAAGAGTATTGAATCAAGATAGCACAACAGGAGTTAAAGGAACGGGTCAAGAGAAAGGAATTCAATATGCTCAGCCCGTTCACAGACGAAAAAGGAATCGTACGAGTAGGAGGACGAGTAGATAAAGCAATCGTGACGTATGATTCGAAACACCCGATATTGCTTCCCAAAAATCATCATATATCGTATCTCATCACACAAGAAATGCATCAACAAGGACACACTGGAGTAGCATCGACAGTGACAAAAACACGCAGAATGTTTTGGATCATCGGAGTGCAGAAACTTGCAAAATTAATCAAGAGGAAGTGCGAAGAAAGATCGAATCACAGCTGATGGCTGAACTCCCAAAATTAGGATTGATGCCTCAAACACCTGCATTTCACAACACAGCTTGTGATTATTTCGGTCCATATAAAGTTAAAGTTGGAAGAAATAAAACTATGAAACACTATGGCGTTCTATTCACTTGTTTGAACACCAGAGCGGTGCATCTCGAGCTGGCTGCAGATTGTTCCACGATGGAACTAATTCAAGTACTTCGAAGATTCTTCGCGATTAGAGGATATCCCTCATTAATGTTAAGTGATAACGGGACTCAATTAGTCGGAGCGGAAAGCGAATTAAAAAGAATGATACAAGGTTGGGATGTTAAGAAGCTTAAAGAATACGCAGCAGATAAGAAAATGGAGTGGAAATTCATTACACCGAACGCTCCACATCAGAACGGCTGTGCCGAATAACTAGTTGCAAAGTAGCCCTAAAACAAGCAATAGGAGATAATCTCCTCACACCGTTCGAATTATACACTGTCCTGTTAGAAGTGGCAAACATTGTTAATCAGCGACCAATCGGTAGACCAACTAACGATCCCGATGACGGCGCATACCTATGTCCAAATGATCTCTGATTAGTAAGAGCGTCTTCCCATGTCCCGCAAGGCCCATTCCTGAAGACAAAGAACCCTCGACACAGAGTAGAGTTTCTTCAACAAATTCCAGACTCGTTCTGGAAACGTTGGATAAGGGATGTTTTTCCGTGCTTGGTTCCTCGAAAGAAATGGGATGTTCAACGAAGAGATGTCCAAGTTAACGATATAGTTATGTTAGTGGATTCGAATGCTATAAGAGGAAATTGGACAATTGGAAGAATAACTCAAGTACTCCCGGGTAAAGATAAGATTGTTCGAAATGTGACAGTAAAGACACAGAACGGAACGTATCAAAGACCGATCACCAAAATCGCAGTAATACAACCAGTAGAAAAGGAAAATATATGAGAACAATGTTCTCATCGGGGTGGAGGATGTTTCGTGAAAACAATTAATTATAGTATTATTATTGACATTTATGCATAAATTAAGTGGAAACATGGACCACGTGACAAACCAAAAAATAAGAAACACGTTGTTGTTAAAATTCAGGAACTTTACGATGTAGAGTAATAGGCCAAAGAAATCAAATAAATACTTAGAAAATATGTGATATTTGGAAAGTCTGTATGATGAGAACTCTACATCGCTGGTTGTTCCGGGAATGAGCTGCCAATTTTGCGGAAGATACTTTAATCGCGGTTACAATCAGCGTAGACACAAACGGAAATAGTGTCCATCACGAGAACAAGAAAAAAACATGTCTCAAACAGACTCGGACAGTCAAGAAAGAGATTTCCGTGACGATGTCTCAACAACTTCTACTCAGCAGTCTGGAAGTTCGACGGCAACTGACTCAGAATCTGGAGAAGAAATGGATCCCTGGATACCACTAATAGAAGAGGCAAAACAAAGAAGTAACACAGCTTTCGAGGTAATGAAAGAACGCCTCATGCATAAACAGAGGTTTCGATGAGCACTCTGCTAAAGAGAAAGCTTACGTGAATATCATGCCTAGACTCCAGAAAGAATTAGAAAATATCTATTTAAAGCGCCTTTTGTAGATAAGACAACTAAAGAAAGATCCAGTACCTAAGAAAATAATGCACACACAAGATGCGTTTATTCAAAATGATGATTTTGACCCAGAAGAAGCAATAGAAGCTGCAGTTGATAAGAGAAAGTTTCTTATTAAAAGGCTTTTAAGCGACCACGAGATTAAAGATGACGAGGAAAATAAAGACATTGAAGGTTACGACGATGATGATAATTAAACTTTAAATTTAGTTAAATCTCAAAAAAACGTTTTAGAAGGAATTATTATTTATTGCTGAAACTAATTGCAAGACAAATAAATGTTAAAATCGTTAATCCATGTCTGAAATTTACCTCTTTCCAGCCGCTAGTTCGTCGCTATTTTAATTTTATCAACAAAAATTTCAAGTGGGTATGAAATATCTCATTGAGCAGATGAACATCTGCTCATAAGCAGATACGAGCATGTGCTCAGTTTCCGACGTCCCGCGTGGGGTCCACGCGTTGCGTGTTTTCCTCCCAATGTATGGGGGGTAACCTACTTATATATATAAATAGTTAAATAAATAAATAAATATGATGTGAAATGATTTTCCTCGCAATAAAAGAGTCGTCCTAAAGAGCCAGCTGGGGCAAGTTGTATAGAGGCAAAATTGACCAATCAAAGTCGTGCATTTCTGAGTTAACTACAATTTAGGTACACAAAATGTAGTTAAGAGATTTATATAACCGGCCCCTGATGTTTTTTGTGCATGTAACTATCCCATGGCCAGAAATCGCAGACATGGTCATGGAGTATCCAGGTTGCTGCAAATAATTTCATTGAATATTATTGAATATTTGAATTTTTTTGGTTGTTTCTTGTAAGTTCCTGGGGTAATATTTTGCGGGTATAGGTTTATATCAGCTCTACATTAAATGTTATATATATAGAAATATAGTTTATTTTAATCATTCTAAAACTTTAGCTTGGAAACGAAGGAAGAATACTGGCAAAAAAATTGAAATCCACTTAAAATCGAGGCAAATTATAACTGACCTAATAGTAGCCATATTTTTGGCGTTAAAGTACTATTCTAACATTTAACAGTTTAAAAAAAACTTACGAGGTAAGATTAATTGACACCATATAGGCAAATTTCGGCCGAAGTAAAATGTTAATTTGTCCTAATTTTCTACAGCCGTCGTGGTAGCTTGTTCTCACAAAATATTTTATTAGCTATGTTTGACTATAATAGGATAAAAAATCGTAATTCATTTTAGTAATTGTTGAACAAGTTCGGTAATTTAGTTGACAACCGAAGACGCTTTTTTACTAATTTGGTTCTTTAATTGAGCTACATTAAATATAAGCTTTTAATTCAACATTTAATAATCAAACTTGGAGGCGATAAGCGAAAATTCTTATATCTGTAATACTCACTAAATGTTGTGAAGATCTTGATATTCCAAGCCACAAGAAGCTAGATCATTAATTCATACAGTTATACTTTAGAGAGAACGGTAGATCAAACCGGTCACCATAAATGCCTTTTACATCTTTAGTTTACTAAAACTTGTTACCTTGTATAGTATTTTCAAAGATTGATTTAAAAGATAATATAACCAAAATATTCTGACTTTCTCTATATTACGTTGAAAGAAATCAATTATAGCAAAACGCTAGTCAATTCGGACACCTGTCAGGACTAGAGCTTTTGCCATAAAAACACACGCACGTTAGCCGACAAATATGTCGAGTGCTTAATAAGCGTAAGAATACTAATGCTATTAAAGTCATTACTTGATATATTATATATCAATATATAGTACATATTACATACTATATAATATATATAGCTATTAAAGTCATTACTTGATATATATATATCAATATATAGTACATATTATATATATATATATATATATATATATATATATATACATATATATATATATATATATATATATATATATATATATATATATATATAATATATATATATATATATATATATATATATATATATATATATATATATATTATATATATATATATATATATATATATATATTATATATATATATATATATATATATATATATATATATATATATATATATATATATATAGGTAATTTACCTGATTGATAATTTGCTGCAATAGTGCTCACAAACTAGCCACTGAATATAAAGTTTAAGTTCAGGAAGTTTAATGTGGAAAATAAAGTATATTTAAAATAAAGTAAAGTTTTTTTTCAGTAAAAAAATTGGAATCCTATTTTATCGTTTTGGCAAATATCACCAGGTTTTTAAGGAAGCACCTGTTAGAATATCCAAGAGGCCCGCGTTGTTAATTTGATGACTCATTGAACCTTCACAATTTACGAGTTCATGCTTTAGGCTTGCAGCTAATAGAGACCTTAAGATTAACGGAAAACCGGTAACCAGAAGCGGCGAATTCAAATCACATTTGAGACTAAACCCGACAGGTTTTCGACAGTTAATTCAGATGGACAGTTAATTTAAAATTTTAGTTTCCCGTATCCCGTAAACGTCAATCTTAAAGTGCCTAATGGCAAAGGGAAGACTCATTACCCTTAGACCAAGCCCCGAATAATTTTTCTTTGCTTGGCATTTAATCCGTTGCTGATTGGACGCGAGAGATATACGCTTTCTTTTTTCAATAGAAATTTCTGAAAATATACAACCATTGCATATGCCTGTATTGAAAAAGCTCACTCGCACTTCTTTAGTGGAACATAGAAACTGATCAGGGTATAAGGCTGAATAAATTACTACGGCTCCAACTTGCAGACACATTGATGGACTTTTATTTAAAAATATTCTTTAAAATTTTAAGCCAATAGCGTTGTTACTAAAGTATTTTGAATTTAAAATTAGGCCTTAGCCTGTACCTTGATCCGACCACTGATTAATGGAACGTTTTATAGGAAAACTATAAAGAGATCAAGTTTTTACTAGCGTAGAAATACCGCGAAAATTCGCTATGAAGTAATTGATATCTCCTACTGAACTGAGTGTGCATGAGTGAGCTTTTAAAATACAGGAGACAGTGACCTTAGATTTCGAGAACAAAACGCTTAAATTAACACTTCGCTAAATGTGCACACCTTATTGTTCTCATCTAATAAATCTTCGCAATTTCCCCAACGCTGCTTCTGTTCAATAGTCCAGTTGCTTCGATGAGAATTAAAAAGAGATTTAACAATTTTTACCATATTCGCTGGGTAATTCTCTGGATGACGAACAATGCCTGCAATCCAAAACGATCTAATATCCCCATAAGAGGTAAAAATTTCGATAGGTGTTTTGCTGGGTTGAATATCGACTTTTGCTATCAAATGCAGCTCATTTCCATGCACCTTGAAGCAGGCATTCGCTTTCTGTGCCAAATCATCGTTCACTTTTTTCCACTCTGATTCATGGAAGTTGGTGAACTTTTTCTTGTCCGACCTCCTTTTGACGTCTTTGAGAGCTTCCAGCACACCATTTTCATTGGCAAACCGGCCAATGTTTGCACCGTCATAACTCGTAGCGTCGTAAAATCGTGTGTGGCCGTTGACGGCAACTTCTAGGACATAGGAACCTATAAAATAAAAAAACTATGCGAAGAATGTGAAGCATTCCCAAGTGTCTCAACTTTTTCTATTTTGGCATATCCAATATATGCAAATCAAGAACTAAATTTTAAGGTTTAAAAAGGTTTATTATTCAAATACTTCGTCCCAGGGCATGCCTCTTCTTCAAGAATAAAGGCATATTCATAGATTTTATATAGATTTCAAGGACCGGTTGTAAAACGCTACAATTTGCGTAGTTAAATCTTAGTTAACTCTAAAATACCAACAGGGACGTACAGAGCGAAGGGAGCGTGGTATAGGGTGGCTGGCGGGGGGCAGCTACCCTAGAAAAAGTGCAGTAAGACATGTTTTTAGATTTTCCGCCATAAATATATTTTTTCCACTCATTGAAAAGTTAAAAATCGAGACGGGAGACGCAAATATTCAACATTCATTTTCAGGATTTTTAGTGTTTTTTTTTAAATTAATTGTTTTTACGGTCTGTTAACATGAATATATGAATTCCCCCCCCCCACTTAACGATCTTCTGCGGCCGCTAATGAACTTACCATCTTCCTCAGACGGTTGATATGAAGACCATGATGTAGCATATGTGCACAAATAAGATCCTGCGGATATCTTTCTTAATCTAGGATGTAGGAATAAACCAATGCCAGAGTCATTTAATGTCGATGGAGCAGCGTAAAGAAGAGCTTCGGTGGCGTACATTGAATCTACTGTTCGGAACATTAAAAAATTTTTTCAGTCATTTCTTGATTTTTTAATGGATTTTCTCCCTGTTGTATGTCCCAAGGTCTGAATGGAAATTTCCGTGTCTCAGCTGGTAACTCAAAAAGACCGGCATGTCTGCGTTTTGCATCTATCATAGATTTAAATATTCCTTCGTCGACGCCTTCTTCCACAACTGGTACGGTAAGACCTTCTGCAGCTAAGACCTCAGCTAGCAAACGAATTTCAGCACCTTCATCTCTCTGAACATAAATGTCCAGCAAAAGACAGCCATACTCGTCCTTCTTAACAGTTACCTCGCCTACGTTGTCTCTAGGCATGTGAAAAAATACGTGTTGAGCCTCGGTTATTACACGGCGGGCAAAACGGAGGCTATCAACACCTGAATGTATTGTCTTCACTGGTCGTATCATGAATCCGTTCCCATGTTTGCCATATAATCGAAAGGCCGTGTCGACATTTGGAGAGGCATTTGCCTTGGTTTTGAACTGAATGGTATCATGTATTGCATTTGGATTAGTTATATGTCTGTTAAATTCTGGGTTCATCGCTGATGAGATGATCAGATGACCGGCATCTCCCGCCGATAAGGCGACATTTTGACGTGGTACCTCAACAAGTTCTGCCTGAAGAGTTTTTGGGGAACGACTAGTGAGCCATGTGCATGGGTAGTCCTCATAGTCAGAAGGCAAAATATTCATAAATCGTGGTGTGCAGGTTTGAACGTCTTTTGGTCTTGCCAGGGAAATTGTTGGCGGCGACATTTTCGGTGTTGCGGAAAAAAATGATTCGCACTTTTTAAGGGTCTTTGCAGAGAGTTTTTTAGAAATCTTCATCAATCTTTCGGCCCAGATATCTACAGTTTCGCAGTGCATTGGACGTTTCTCAATTTTGGATGTACTTTCGCTGCTGAAATTGGAAAAGCAAAAAAATGAGGTTTATCCCTAATATACATTGCAATATTTTTTTTCCTAATTTAGCTACCACCAGTATTGATTTTGCGTCTGGGAATATATTATATTCATAATATATTTACTTCACATTATCATCAAAATGTATCACTGAAGTACAAGAGCTGCAAAGACATTCTTCCAATAGAACACGATATTTCTTGTAGATTTCATACCTCTAATGAGGTGACTAGCTTCCCATTGTTTTTTCTGTTTTAGCGCCATTCTCCTTGCCCATTTTTAGAATTTCGCTAACCAAGTACCCGGTCATGTGAGATGCAGCATTGGCAAAACCATTGGAAAAATTCGCCAGTTCGAAAAAGACACACATGAGAGATTCGTTCTCTAGATCTTTATTCATGGATTCTAGCACTCGCCATTTTTCAACAAGCGGTTTATGAAAGGACAGATCAAGATATGACCAATAACTGATGACTTTCTTCAAGAAGTTTATTTCAGAAAAAATATCCTTTGATCTCACACCAGCCAGATTGTTGAATTGCTTTATGACTTCCTTTTCCGCGGCATTCTCAACGACCTATTCCAGTAAATAAATAAATTTAGCAATGTATTATTCTATACTTTAAACAACTACTGTGATTATGGATACACTACCACAAAATTATGAGTTATACTGTTTTGAAAAAAATTGAAGGATACAATCTAAAAGGTCTCCCTAATCGATCCTGGGTGGTTTTTTTCTCTTCGAAATATATAAAGAACGGGAGAATTTAACAAAACGTTTTACGAATTAGGGTTTTACCCTAAGCAAACAAAAGTGTACGATTGGCCTACTCTATTGTTTCATTGTTCTATTGTATGGTTCTCGATAGTTTATGAACATTTGCAAAACCTTCATTAACCCCTTTGTCTTTTCGATTAACTAAAATGTTTTTTTTCGTTAAGCGTAAGTAAAATATCTAAAATTTTTGTGAGATAGGCCATAGCACGTAGGCGTTTCACATTAATAGTTTGCCTTCTAGTTCAGAGCCTGCATGGGCAATATATTTAGAGCCAATTAAAGCAATTCCATCATTACATTGTAAAAATTGGTTTAATTGTCTTTTTAAGAAATTCCGTCATCCAATTTACATCATTGGGTGTGTCCAATGCTCGTTACGATGGTAATTGCACAATCATAGAACTCCTTTTTTACTCAGAATAACTTAATACTCTTGTAATTAGGCAAGGTGATATCACAATACAAATAAATTAGCATGTAGGTACGCACTCGTTATTTCATATTGTAAAGCTTTCACACCGTTACCCCGGGCCTTCATCAGTTGCACTTAAAACCACACCACTGTGTATTGAGAACGTACGTGCAAAAGTAAAATTTGGTACAAGTATGAAAATATACAGATCATAGTACGGAAGACAACCGCAGTTTGAGAAATTTCAATCTGTGCTTCAAAGCCTCCTTTACGCAAGGAGGAAAATGTAGTTTAAGAAAAATAACAAACCCCAAACATGATGTGTAGAAAAATACCATAAATTATTGCTTGTGTTAGCACTATGTATTTAAACATTTTCAATGTTCTAAACTCTTTGAAATCATGTATCGGGTTTACTTATATTTATATATTTCATTTTTGACCTATCTACGTTATTAAATTGCAATAAACTGTAAATAATTATGTCAAATTCCGAAGATAAAAAAATCATTAAAGAAATTTCACCTTCTGCACTTTGGGAGCTTGTGTCAGTTGTTCCACGGGATCTTTCCTCCAAATTCCTCCTAAAATTTAAATAAAAAATTTAGGTGTTGCTTTTACAATAGAAGCGATTTTTTAAGTAATTCCTTAAAGGGGCTCCTGATATTAAAGAATAATATTATATTGCTCGCCAGAATTTGGTTTCTGAGACTGAATTTTAAAAATTCTTCTTCGAAATTTCGGGCTCTATACGTGAAATAATAATACGCCTTTTCCAATCACAAACAACAACGACTCGGTCCCGAAACCTAAAATTTTTTTTCACGAGCGTCCTGGTTGAGAATCCAGCTTTGAGCATAAATAAAGACCAGGCATAACAACAGTTCTCAAATCTGCGTCCCACATATTCACTTCCTAAGCGATTCTAAAGTGTGTCCTTGTGACTGAAAAATCCTTATAATATAAGTATGATATAACGAGCAATTTGATTGGCTACCGCGCGTGCATTGTGAGGCCATAATGCACGCTTCTGGCCTTGAAGTTTTTGTTGCTAAGCAACATCTTAAATAACATGTAAGGAGAATTTCATTATTGATCAAATAAATAAACTTTGTTGTTGCCCTATAATTTCTTCTTATATTATAAAAGAATTAAAAAAGCTCGTCGCGTGCCTTTATGGTGTAATAATGCACTCGGGGAAATGTTGGAAGAATACTCGAGAAGCTTGTAAAACACTCGGCTACGCCTCGTGTTTTACAAGCTTCTCTCGTATTCTCCCAACATTCCCCCATCGTGCATTATTACACCATAAAGGCACGCGACTCGTTTTTGTGGGTAGCCTGCGCATGCGCGGCTAACCACTATGTAGTCGAAAAAGTGTCCGGATCTGTGTGTGTGTGTGTGTGGCAATCTTCGGCAATCGTCGGATATACGAAAGATGACGAACGGTACGTTCTACTTCCGGAAAATTTCGTTGTTTTCGAAGGACGGAAGCAACCGAAGTTACGTTAATACGTTTGTCAAATTTTAAAGCGAAGTTGAGTACTTTAAAGACGCAAAAGCGGTGATCGGTGAGCGTTGAATCTACAACTACAAAGTTACACTAATAGAAAATAAATAGTAACAAGTTGCCCTGTTTTATAAATTATAATGCGATATTTCACCTGTCAATTTCTTGCTTGTGGACATGCAGCTATTAAGGTGGCTCGATACAATTTTCCGAAATTTTTAGATGCACATTTTAAACAGGGATATTAAGCACCAAAAATATTTCACTATACGGCTAAAAGTTAATATACTTTGCAGGAAACATATCTAGAGCGGAAATATTCTCAGAACCTTTGCCTGGCACCCGTTACCATGGCAACAGAGACGTTTCAAAATGGCCGCCAAACAGGGTTTAATCATGTTTATATCACAAACGAGTTCGGTGACCCCCAGTTTTTTTTTCATTAAACGTTTACGCTATAGATTATTTATCTGTGAAAAACTTTAAAAAAAATTCTAACATGAGGAATTTTTTCTATTTACAAAAACGATATTTTTACTTATTAAAAAATTCCCCCATGTTAGAATTTTTTAAAAACTTTTTCACAGATAAATAATCTATAGCGTAAACGTTTAATGCAAAAAACATTGGGGGTCACCGAACTCGTTTGTGATATAAACACGATAAAACCTTGTTTGGCGGCCATTTTGAAACGTCTCTGTTTCCATAGTAACGTGTGCCCGGCAAAGGTTCTGAGAATATTTCCGCCCTATATATGTTTCCTGCAAAGTATATTAACTTTTAGCCTTATAGTGAAATATTTAGGTGCTTAATATTCCTGTTTAAAATGAGCCAAAAAAAAATTCGAGAAACTGTATCGAGCCACCTTAAACCAAATACATTACCTTATTGCACATGGTAGTAACAAGTTGCCCTGTTTTATAAATGATAATTTGGTAAATGGTAGTAACAAGTTGCCTTGCTTTATAAATTATAATTCAATATTTCACCTGTCTTTCTTGCTTGTGGACATGCAACTATTAAACCAAATACATTACCTTATTGCAAATGGTAGTAACAAGTTGCCCTGTTTTATAAATTATAATTCGGCAAATGGTAGTAACAAGTTGCCCTGTTTTAAAATTATAATGCAATGCAAAAATTTCATTTTCTATCTCTTGTAAAAATGCTTTTATATATGTTTTGTATATCTGTCCTAAAATGTATTTAATACAATAAAATATTATAATATATAGATTGCATAATAAATCGACTTCGTTATAACTGTATTGAACCAGCTAATTATAGGGCGTTTATTCCGTTGTCTATGGCATTAGAACATAAGACTAGAAAATAATATTTTATTGCATCAGTTGATATTTACTTGCCACTATAGCAGCTTTATCGCATTAATAATGTTTTACAGGCTACCCACATGTACGCATTGCGTACCTATTTTTTAATTCTTAATTAAAAATTTTAAGTCTGATATATGGTCGGACGCGACGAAGCTCTAATAATTCACGCGTATACACTTACGAAAAATATGGGCCAAATAAAATGAGATATTTTCTCGCGAAATAGCCACGCGGCAATTTCGCATTACACATTGTAGTAGCTGAATTTCAAGGTTTTAAACCAATATTTAACAATTTTTCGCCTCAGTTAAACGAACCAAACCAATATTTAACAATTATTCGGCGGGGAATACTTCCCTCGACTTCGTCTCGGTGAATATTCCCCGCTAATCACCGAGCTTAAGGCGAATAATTGTTTTTAGGCGAATAAGTATTTTTGCACAAGCGAATTGACACAAGAACTGCATTAATTTTGTTCGTTTATCTCTGTAAAAAATATCGCGTGCCACGTGCGCGAATTAATAGGACGATTAAAACATCTGGGGCCGGTTGTTCGAAAGGTGGATAAGTCGCTATCCAACGGATAAGTCGCTAGGAATAAAATTGCAATGTGTTTAATTAATAAAATCACTATGATGTGAAGTGCAAAGTTCGAGCAAATCACTTGTTCAAGTCTTTTCCATTCAGTAACTATACTCGAGAATTCGTAATGATTATGAATTCAATGTTGTAAATGCTTAGCAACAGCTGACGTTGTGGTACGAAATTTCACCTGTTTACTTCCGGCAAATTTTAACTTATCTATTGGATAGCTATCCACTTCACTATCCACGCTTCGTGCAACGCATTTTTATTCAATGGATAACTATCCACTGGATAGCAGATTTATCCGTTGGATAGGACTTATCCGTTGGATAAGTTATCCATCTTTCGAACAACCGGCCCCTGGGTCGGTTGTTCGAAAGGTGGATAAGTCGCTATCCAACGGATAACTCGCTATCCAACGCATAAGTTTATCCAGCGTGTGATTTGGGTTGCACGAAGCTTGGATAACTTTATCCAGCGGATAAAAATCGCTATCTACTGGATAAATCCAAGGTCCGGAGGTAGTTTAAAGCCAAGAGGATAAACTCAAGAATACAAGATAACACTGTAAACATTTAGATAAAAAAGGACAAAAATGCAATATTCCTGTTACTACAAACTAATATGTATATACAAATTAATGTACATCATAATTGTACTCACTATTAAAAATATTTTCGAAGTGCAATCCCCAGCCGATGTTGATATAAAATTATTTGTCGCAGCAGCGTTTTACGTTACCTACACATTCCGTTCCGAGTGGCGAATTTTTGGACATCCTCACATTTATAACAGGCGGTAAATTTACTATATACGCTTATAATCAGTTTATAAACGCGAATATATGCATAGAAAGATTCAACCTATTCCAAGGAAACTTGCTAATATCTAAGTAATTTCATTCACGCAATAGACAAGTATAGACAACAAGGCCACGAATTTTGTTCTATGCTTAGATTAGCCGGGAATTAGCCAATCAAAACATTAAAATAGTGTTCCTAAATTTGTTATGGAACCGAAAGGCAAAGCGTCGCAAGGTCAAGGAATAAAATTGCAATGTGTTTAAAATAAAATCACTATTATGTGAAGTTCGAGCAATTATTTGTTCACGTCTTTTCCATTCAGTAACTACTCGAGAATTTGTAATGATTATGAATTCAATGTTATAAATGCTTAGCAACAGTTGAATTCAACAGTTGACGTTGTGGTTCGAAATTTCAGGATAATCTTGTTTTCTCCTGGTAAGTTTTAACTTATCTATTGGATAGCTATCCACTCCACTATTCACGCTTCGTGCAACGCGTTTTTATCCAATAGATAACTATCCACTGGGTAGCAAATTTATCCGTTAGATAGGACTTATCCGTTGGATAAGTTATCCATCTTTCGAACAACCGGCCTTTGGGGTCGGTTGTATCAAGCCCGTTTAGCTTATTAAAAGGATGCTTCGGGGAGAGCAGAATCGGTTGCTTGGCAGGTTCTGGCACCAAAGATTCGCAGATTCGACCTTTGCAGCGCAAAATTTGGTCATCGTCAATAAACATTGGCTACAACCACTACAAATACAATCGATCTCTTCCTTAAACTCGGATGACTGAATACGACGTATCCATATTTGTTCAGCTTCATGGATCTCGACTGCACTCAATTCGAAAGATGATGTATGATGCTTGATGGCTTTTTTGCTGATTACTCTCTAAACCCGAATGACTGGCAGTTACTTGCAATAACCTTATCTTTTTACTGTATCGTAGGATGTCCATTATTTCCTCAATTTGTATAACATTGTTACGGGCAGGTGAAATGCCAGACAATGAGCGGATTATCAAGGGAGGATTCTTCATAGATTCGAGATTGGCTTGATCACAATCTATGCTCGTTGGTTGCAATTCTGGTGGCCATCGATCACGAGAGCTGGCTAAGAATTGAGGTCCATTCCACCAAGATTCAGAACTAACTAATTAGCTTCCCGTACATCCTCGAGAGGGTAAGTCCGCTGGGTTGAACTCTCCAGAACAATGTCTCCATTCATATTCAGCAGTAATGGCTCTAATTTCCTTCACGCGATTTTGAACATAGGTCTTCCAGACGCGATGATTACGTATGCAACAAAGAGCCGTGAAAGAGTCAGTCCACAGTATGACTTCTAGAT